TTAAAGCATATTTAAAGCTTTAATACCTTGGAGCATTAAATAAGGAAATTAACATCTTATGGTGTGTGAAAGTGAGATAGTAAACCCGTAGAAAAGGAGGAGGTGGGATAGAGGTAGATCTACGTTGTGAGTAGTCATGGGAATAACTCGTGCGCATAAGATTAACATTTTTCAGAATAGCTTTATGCTTCGGTTACATGGGACTGAAAGAATTGCATGAGAATTGACTATAAGATTTGACAGGATATTACCGCGCGCGTTGCGGAAACTTTCATCATGCAAGTTTCATCAAAATTTGATCATGAGTCGAGCTAGCTCAAAGACAAAGTTGATGAGTTGGCGGTCAAACGGTGGCGCCGAGACTATAGTACAATTAAAAATTGTTCTAGAATCCACTAAACATAATGTATGGCAATTTTCTTCAAGAATTAAGCCACCTCTGAGATTGTATACACTTAAAATGAGCTTATCGAGTATTCCAACTGTGGAAACCTGTGGTATTTATTTTTTTACGATGACCCCTTGTAGGTGTTGCTTAGAATAGAACTCGCATCTTTATTGATTGGTTTCAGCTGCGCGGTGTTGTGAAGCATGGTTGCAAGTAGCCTGCATAGCAGGCGTAAGGCGTTTAGCTTGCAAGTTGCTAAGCCTCGGTCAGTGGCGTAACGGAGGGAGAGGAGGTCGGAAGAGGTGGGGGCCCCTGTTGACTGTTGTCATTGTTTGACTGAGATATTATATTTATATTGAATATTTATACATTGTTCTGGAAAATTCCGTGTCTATAACAATAACAATAACAGTCTCCAACACATGTAACAAGAGTAACTAGAATAACTTTTGTTTTCAGTTGAGATGGAATAAAAAAATCAGCTATCGTTGTCGATGGAGGCTTAATTATTTAGCATTATTAATCTTGTATTTTCCCATTGATTCTTAACCTGCATTTTTTACGTTTTCTAATTTTCTGGGCGATAGGCCGTGGCTGATGGGTGCCCCTAACTGTCGGGGGTCCTTAGTTTTTGGACAAACCCTACCCAATGAGCGCGATTGACGCCACTGGCCTCGGTGAGTCAGGTCAGTTGGCTTCATTAGTGTTGGATCTAATATGAAATAACAAATATATAAAATATAACTAGATATATATTTTATATATAGGACAACTGAGTATTCTCCACTCACTGAGGTTCGCGATTCACGGAGCCCATGCATGCAAACAGCCTGAAGAAATTCCGAGATACAACAATACAGTTTTACAAATAATTATCATAAGGATGTGAATATATTAAAAATTAGTTAAAGTTAGTAATAGTTATATTAGTGGAAAAGTTAACCAATCCGAGTTAACTACTGTGTAACTCACTGGTTTAACTACGAAACGTAGTTAAACTGGGACGATGTCTCTCCATGCAGTGCCTATAAGTATAATATCTGTTGTTTTCAAAGGATATTAATGATATCTCGAATGATATGACGCCATAAGCGTACCGGGTGGGGGGGGGCGGTAGCCCCCCCCCAGTTTTTTGGGCAGTCGGGCAATATTCGATTAACAGTCGGGCAATTTTGGGTTGTTTAAAAAAAAAATCGGACCAATTCTGTCAATTTTTTCGAAAATTTAGTCAATTTTGTGGGGTTTTTTGAAAATTTATGTGATGCTCAGAAAAATTTTGGTATGTCCGGAAAATTTTTTTGACCCCTTACACTGACCGAAATTTTTTTGGCGACGGGGGGGGGGTGGGAGGTCGCCAAAATAAATTTTCCGGGAAAAAATTTGTGGTACTAGTCGGGCATAATCACGAAAAGTCGGGCAATTTTACGAAAAGTCGGGCAATTTTGTTTCCGCCCCCCTAATTTTTTCCTTCCGGTACGCCCATGTATGACGCCATGTCTTCTATACTATATAGTGGTCGAAATTTGAAACAATATATATCCTGTCTTAGTTGCAGTAAAATCACTTATGCAAGTCTGTTTCTATGGAAGAAATGCCTAAACTCTATAGCATGGCCTGCAATCTCAGACTTTTAGACGCTGTATTTCCATACTGGTTATACGTACCAAGACCATTCCAAGCGAGGCGGGGGGGGGGGGGTATTCCTCTACAGCTTCTTCACTTTACCAACCATTTCCAATCAATTTATAGACAAGTCACTTTCCTACATAATCTCCGTTTTATGCTGCGAGTCAGTAATTGTGCTTTATATAATTTGTATTTAGTTCTATTTGCTCTTTATGCCCGCAGCAATCCCTGGTTCCGTTTATCATCGACTATTCGACTACTCTGTTCAAGCCAGTACAGAAGTATAGGTTTTTCTTTGCAAACACACATACATATACCCATACTCACGCACTCTATAATACGTCTTATATCTCATTGTCGGACATTGACATTGATTAGATTATACGTAAGAGTTATGTATAATCAATTCATATATCATCATATCATAATCCGGCAAACATGTCATGTAATAGTATAACTCTAGATCTCGCAGTCTTGGGTAGATATTTCAACTGTATACTAACTAATATAACTTTTATGCAAATCCTCATATATGTGATTCAAATAAAGTTCTAAAGTTTGGTCAGACTTTGATACCTGCTCGTATTTGCAGTTATGCAGTTTAATTTATAGTTTGATCCTCTTACGGCCCGTGGTTTAGACAGTTCCATGAGCCATTCTAGACTATAGTAAACCTTATTCCAGCATCCAAGAACGATTGGGAATAAGTCATTTCGGTATAATCAGAGGAAATTCAAAGAGACGATTTCCAGTAAAATATAATTTCTTGCAACAAGGAGAATTCTCTTGACCTGAGATAAAAGACTTCAGTTCAACAACGTTTTGAGTGCATGCGCAAGGCTTGAGATATATTTCTCAATATTTATTTGTATATATTTTCCGTAAAAGTAAACTGTGCACTTACTACAAACGTAGACATCAAATATCTTGCTTACCGATTTCTCATAATCAGTCGAGTCTCATAATACGGTATCCCGCCAACCTGGGAACGAGGTTGACGGTGTCCCGGCTTAAAGTTCGCCCACCTCACTGACCAGAAAATGTTTTGCTTATCAAGGGGCGCTTATATTTAACCAGCTAGATAAATCCCTGTAAAGAAACAAAATGTATGCATGCATGTTGACATGATTATTATACTTTACTACATGTCAATATATAGTTTTATACATTATACTATATTTTTAACTAATATATTTAGGATGTATCTGTACTTCTATTGACTTTCAGTATACTTTGAATACTATATAAAGTTCTTTATACTTCATGTATACTTTTTACTTATAGAGCCAGGTCCTTCAATGATACCATGCAGTCTTTACTAATTACTAGATCTGACGAAGTTAACCAGTATTAATTCAGTAAGGCAGTATAATTATAAAGAAATATTAATATTACAATGTACGAAATGAACGGAAAGTTATGTACTATTTAAAACGTGAGCAGGAGTGCTTTATCAGATATAAAACTCGAGGTGACAGCGGCCGAGAGTTTTACTGAATACTGATCTGATAAGTGATAAAACATGGACCCATCTTAGTTATGAATTTATTGGCGAAGTAATTTTAAAAATAAACGTTGTCTAAGAGACTAAGACTAAGTCGAGAAAATCAAAGCTAAAAAGTTTACATGATCAGTTTTAACGGATATATTAAACCACCGACATGGTAGTGATTTCCTTTTCTTTATATTTTTAAAATATATATATTCCTACTATATCTTCGACTATGCCTATGGTGTACCGCAAGTCTGTAAAATGGTTCTTTAAATTAATTGCTTCTGCATGCTCGTCTCTAGTGGGATTGCAAAACAATTAATCTTTTTTCAAGCCGGTTTTCCACTTCAACCGTACCGTACGAAAACGTACTGAAAACGTACCGAAACGTACTGGTGAGCATGCGCAGATTGAAAAGAGGTTTATAAATCCACGTACTTCCGGGTGTATTCAATATTCGCGTATCAAAATGAAAAGTTCGTCACAAGTCAACTTTTTGGCGTACTACGGAAGTATTAACCAATCAACATTTACTAAATTTTGAAATTATATTAGGAGAATAGGAATTTTTATACACAAGAGAAGCGCAAAAACTTTCATGCATTACAACATTAAATTTTGTTTTAAATACTGAAAAAAATTGCCGATGAAATTTTCTAAACCACGAAAACCAGTAATTAGTATGGGTGCTGCATGATGGTGAAAATGAAATTCTGATTGCTGTATAATCACTATAATGATCACCCGAAGTGTTGATATTGTCTATTACAGGGCCGTAGGAAGCTCTTTTCGATTGGGGGGGCTGAAAGCGAGGGCCGAAGGCCCGAGGAAATTTTTAAATTTAGAGTCTCTAAAATGCCATTTCCTGGACTTTGGGGGAAGATTTAACAGAATTCTGATAGTCAGAAAACAGCGTTTTAGTATGTCAAAATTTACAGGAAAGTATGGGCCAGACTGTAGTATTATAAATGCGCGGCGGGAATTTTCGTCGTAAATGGCAGTTGCGCGGAAATGAAGGCAGAACATTTGAGAAAATTTCGAAAATCTGGAGTCTCTAGATGGTCTGAAATGGCATTTTCAGAGTTTTCTTTCGCAAGACCCAACACGCAAAAGACAAAATAAATCATTGGTTCATCAAAAATGTGCAGATTTTGTGGGATTTTCTTGAAAATGCGCGACAGAAATTCAGCTAAAATTTCTACGCGAGGAACGATCTGGAGTATGAGTAATATCTTCATTCTTTGCAGTTTGTCACAGATTAAATGATAAAGTTTGCATGATTTTGAAAAAAGAATGATTATTAGCAAATTATTGGGGGGGGGGGGCTGCAGCCCCCCCAGCCCCCCCCGGTTGCTACGGCCCTGTATTATTTAAGATTTATTTATATTTATGCATCGATCACACAACATGTCGGCCTTATAGAATACTGTTTGTCCATAGCCTATCGACACGGCTTGTTAGACCGCATTGGTCTGGTGTAACATGATGATGTGAAATATTTAATAGGAAGTGGATATTCGTCCGACATTTCCATATCGTTAAAGTCGTTAAAAATAAAACAGCGTAAATTTAATTGAATTTCAAGCGAATCCTTCGTAGTGTAGTGGTTTAGGCACCCGTATTGTGTGCGCCAAGTTCTGGGATCGATTCTTGCTCGCGCCATTATTTTATTATTTTTTTTTATACTTTTTTTTTTCTTCGTGATTTTCGCTTACGCACCGCGTACGAAACGTATAGCGTATCGAGTATGTTGTTGCTTCGTTCTTAAGAAACAACGCAACCCTTTTACTGGTTTAGTGTTAGCTTTTAAAGCGTTGTCGGATAAATAGCCGTGAAGCAGGAAGATCCGGTGTCGGACGAATATCCACGGGGTATTTAATAAGCTAGTTTGAAAAGCTCATTGACTGGTAGCCATTCTCATGTAAATCTTGTTAATGTAATAGTGTTTGACTTAGTTAATGAATATCGGGTTGTTTTTTTGGATCTGAGGCTACTAGCAATTATTTGTATAGTTCTGTGTTTTTGGTAACAGAACAGTATATTTCCTTAATGCATTTGCTGCCATATGATTTTACAAGTTTTACAATGATACACTTATAGGCAGGGGCGCACATTAGGGTGTGTGTGTGTGTGGGGGGGGGGTGATTTGTGAAATATATCTAAAAAGTCGGTCCCGAAACCTGTATGGGACGAAAAAAGTCGGTCCGGCTAAAATCTGAAAGACATCATTTTGTATCGAAAAAAGAAATAGGTGAACATTTTGGAAATGGAATCTAACAAAATTAGGCGACTTTTGGTGGTTGTACATGTAATTTTTCTTCCAACCTCGTCCAAAAATGCGTGAAATAGCGTTCTAATGAATCTAGAAATTCAAAATTTTTCTCGCGCCTTCGGCGCTCGCACTCGAAGTCCATAAAAAATTTTGGCCCCCGAAAGTTTAGAGCAGAAGTTCTGAAAAACTAAACGTTTATTTAAACTCTTGGAATACTATCCCCGTCTATGAGTCCATCCGCAATTTTGGAGGAGTCTACGTTCTAATAAATCGAAGCGAGGTTACCGAGGTATGTGGCAGTGTATAGCATTTATACACATTTAGATAGCCGATTAAATCCGCATCGAGTGCATGAACACGCAGCTTTTCGAGTTTGAAGCTTAAATTGATTAACACTGCCATTCATCCAGTCATGAAAGAAAGAAGGCTAAGGGATCTAATCACTCTTGGATGTGAAAAGGATCTCACGGATACAATATAATGGACCCAGACACTGTTGTTGATCGTTGGGCCAAGCTGCCAAAACAGAACGCATTATTTGTGTGAAGTAATTCCGATTGTGATTTTTCGATCAAGTGAACTGTGCAGGTGGACTATTTTAATTAAAAACTGATTTGACTGTCTGAAATCTATTGCTAATTGCTATTACTTTCTAAACCAAATTTTTCGCCGGACCTGTCCGCTTTGCGGTCGGCCTGATTTGAAGAATATCAGTACACATCTTTTACAAGTTCACTGCTTACAATCCAAGGAAAGAAAACCTTATCTTAAGCAAGCCAAGGTGTCGTCGTGGCAGCCCTACATCGACAAGTCTCCGTACATGAACTCGGAAAAGCCGGGAGAAAAGCGTGTGAGCCGAAGGGCATACTCGTTGCCAACTAAGAAACCAGAAACAGCACATCCAGTTTGAGAGAGGTTTGCCCGAGCTGTCCGAGAACATGAGCGATATTCATACGCGGTACAACAACATCATCATACTGGACGATCTGATGGCTGAAGCGACAGACAGTCCTGTGGTATTTCGATTATTTACCCAGGGTCGTCATAGAAACGCGAGTGTTATCCTTTTACTCCAGAACATGTTTCCCAAGGGAAAATTTAATACAGATATTAGCCGAAATGGCCAATATCTCGCTCTCTTCCGGAGTCCTAGTGATAGGAAACAAATTGGTATCGTTGGAGAACGCATGTTTGATAAGAATAGAGTCAGTCCACTTTATGAATGCTTATTACAAAGAGACCGAAAAACCATTTGGATACTTGGTCGTGGATAACAAACCTGACACACCAGCCGATAAGCAAGTTCTTGGGGACCTATTTGACGACTGCCATGTTTATCTCTTCGCCACCCAAACTAAAGAGAACAATACTAATGTCGAGCCCACACCGAGTCACAAGCCTGGAAGAAAACAACATAAACATCATAGGTATATTAGCTGGTCAGATGCAACTATTCCCGAGTGAAAAAACTACACTTTGGGAGCACAGGTGGTCCGTAACATTCCCGAAGGATATGTAGGCCGTTGGATGAGGGTCGAATATGTTCAATTCCGTAGCACCCCTCGTGTAACTACATAATTTTTACATGAATCTATACATTATAACTTACTTAGTTAGAATCCACTTCCCCCCAAGCGAAATAGTTGCACAAATTGAAGTATAAGCTCTTCAAAGTTCACGCTTCCTCGTGTTTCGGAATCCATGAACCGCCATTGTTGTGTTGCAAATACGCATGCGCTTGAGCACAAAACACGTAATGCGCACGCGCAGATAAGAAAAACTGATCTCAATCTAGGACTGGACAAGAAAAATTATGAAATGTGCGAAAACAGGGCTGAAGTAAATGAATGAATGAATGAATGAATGAATGAAAAACTTTATTTTACTAGGGTAGCACATAATAGTGAATTCACACTAACAAACCTGTGGCCCTCAGATACAATAAAATATTACAATAATACATACTAGATTAACTAAACAATATATACATAAATAAGATTTCTAAAATACAAAATTAGTAGTTTGAAAATATTGTAGTAAAAGTAGTAAAATGTTTATGTTCTTTCTGATATTCTAACAATATATTAACAATAGACCGTTTAAATGTTTTGGCTGATGCAATGGATCTTATGTTCAGCGGTAAACTGTTCCAAAGTTTACTTGTGCATGTTGAAAACCTTTTACCACCCGCAGTTTGACGATAATATTTCGGCGTTCTAAATAACAGTCCTGCACCACGTGTGGAACGAGAGTGCACTTCGCTATTCAAAAGCAGCAAATCTTTCAGATATTCTGGTCCCTCACCATTAATACGTTTATGCGCCAACATGCACCTCCTGATATCTTTTTCGACATAAAAAGGAATCCAATTAAGTTGATTGAATGCATCAATAGACGGATGCCGTGGTTCCAAATTTAAAATTATTCTAGCGGCACGCTTCTGAAGCTTGAAAAGTTTCAATATGTTGTCTTGTCTACAATTAGACCAAACAACACTACAGTACGTGAACAACGGCTTGATCATTGCATTATAGAACAAGACTATTAAAACAAGATGACATCGGAATATTTTAAAAATATATGATACTTTTATGTTCTGTGCATTTTAATGGGGTTTACCAAACATTCTGAGCAATGTACCGTATCGAGCCCTCGCCAGGAACACTTCCAAGCCAACATTACAATAATAACTTATTTAAAATATTAATTAAAATATGATGTTATTTTATACTACAGCAATTGCATAACGTTTGCAAGCAAATTTGTTTTTCAGGCTTTAAATATTATCACAATCCTAAACATTCAGGGCCGTACACAGCAGGGGAGGCAATATCATTATTAATTATTCATTGGATATTTGTGACGTTTTTCGGCATATAGGCCTTACTGCCCCCAGCTGATGAAAACATTCTGCATACGGTCCTGTAAACGTTCTAGAACTCAACTCATACCGTAATTTATCTTTTTTTTGGGGGGGGGAGGAGGGAGGTATTTCTAATATACACAAAGAATCTGTTTGCACGTTTTATTCTCTTTAAATATGCAACATCGAGTACTGTGATTTTCCGTAAAATATCATAATTATCTTTCAAGTTTCAAATACAATTTCACTCCACGATTTTATACATTAATTGCTTACAGGAGAGGGCCGGGGGTGGGGAAGAAGTGGTGCTAAACAAAGAAATGACTATATACCATAAACTAAGTATTACTCGGTATTCACAATCGTATTTATTCTCTAAATCTTTTCCCGTTAATTAATTTTATTAGTCCAGGTAATGGTTGTTTATTGGCTTTGCGTCTAATCCATTATTAAGCCAAAGAACGCAGGTTAACTCTTTGCCTCAAGGGCCAACGTACCAATTCTGAGTTACGCTGACTGGAACCTCATTACAACTCTGTTTTTGTACCAACCAATCCTCAAACACTCGTATTTCGTTGTTCATGTACGCCTTTAGCGTAGCCATGTTGGGGCTCGGGGTACCCGCCCCCCCCCCTGGTAAAATTTTGGTGCCCCTGAGAAAATTTATTCTATAAAAAGAAGTGAAACATAGCCCACCTACGTTTTTGCTGCCCCCCCTGACCAAAAATCCTGCATGGCTACGTTTCTGGACATTTTGGAGAGAAGTGATGTTTTGATAAAGAGAAAACTACTCAGTCTGAGTTAGGTAATCTGTTGGTCTTGTTCCGATTTGCGTCTTAATGCTGTTGGATAGCATATTTAAATTTACTTGAGTGAGAATGGACAGTGTGTTGTGGAAATTTAAACCTGTTAATGCTAAATAGATAAGACAAAAACTCCCTTCTCTTGGTATGCGCGCGTCGTATGCACAAGTTATTATAATTAGATTGCAAACGTCACGCCATTAATGCTGTTGCATAACAATACCTCCTAAAACCTACTACGCTATTTCCTTCTCCTTTGTTTTTTTTTTTGATAAACTGATCACGATGGTTGCACAAATATACGGCTGAATTGGCGAAAAGGCGTTCGTGATAAAGGCGTGCATGATCAACAACGTAACACGAGTGTTTGAACACGAAATTGGCTGGTACAAAAACCGAGTGCGTAATGAAGTTCCAGTCAGCGTAGAGCCTGAACCTCCGTTCATTCTTATTAATAATGGATTAAATGCAAATGAAATAATAAACAACGAACCTGGACTAATAAAATTGACAGGGAAAGATTTAGAAAATAAATAAGATTGTGAGCACCGACACATATTTAGGGAGTGGTCATTATTTATGGGGAGGGGTTTACCCTTATAAATAGGGGGGGTGTTAAAAAAAGTTTTAACACAGAGAAAGGGGGGGGGGGTCATAAAGGTTTTTGAACTTAAATACCATGTCTAGAGTTCTGATTTCTATAATCACAAATAGCAAAAAAGAAGACTCTGAAAATGCTATTTCCAACGATCTAGAGACTCAAAATTTTCAAAATTACTGCTCAGCGCCAACCATGGTAGCGCCTCGCGATCGTGGGAGTTGGGCCCACTAAGTTTAACAAGCTTTCTACCCCCTGAGTGACCCAGTTGTGGTATTTACATAAACATACCATGCAAATACACTTAACTGATCAGATTCGGTCTATCAACACACAATGTAACGCTGTATATCCAAAAATCTGTTTCAGAAAATGCTCACATTTCAGTTCTAGGGGTGGAAAAA